CATAAGGCGTGTGTCTATGACGCTAGTACTTGGTCCAAGTTCTAGTTTTGAGGAATGCGTAGCCAATCAACTTGCAGCTTTTGTGGAACAGCTACATTGATTGTCTACATATTTCGCGGAATTAGAACTTGGACCAAGTACTAGCATCATAGACACACGCCTTAATTCGCCTGAACAGATACAGGGTTTCTAAATTTCTAAACAGTTGCTATTCTTTTCATCGGTGTTTTATTATTAACTCGATTATTTTTTCCAATAAAATCTTTAGTTTGATTTTTAAGAAATATAACATTTTTTAGTCAAAAACTAATGCTAAAGCAACTAGTTTGTATAAATATCCGCTGTTTTATTTGGCGCAATTTGTTGATATCATTACTTTTGTAGAGAAGATAGTTTTGTAGAGAAGATATTTTTGTGGAGACGATATTTTTGTACGGAAGATTTTTGTGGAGATACTATTTTTGTAAAGAAGATACTTTTGCAGTAAAGATATTTTTGTAGAGATTATACTTTTGCAAAAAAGATAGAGTAACAAAATATATTCGGTTGAATTGGAGCTTAGACTTGGTGCTTTTTTTACCTTTTTTTAAAGAGGTAATTAGAATTACGTTAACAATGTAAATTTGTTGTTAATAACCAACACACAAAAATATAATCATATCCTTGATCATGCTCGCGCGCGCGTGTGTACACCGAGAAAAATACTTTAATAATTATTAATATACCCTAAGTTTGAACTCGATTACTTTGTCAGAAATATATAAATGTTAATATAAATTCGTGATATTAAATAGTAATGTACGTGACTGTACAGTAAAAATATCATCAATTCTTATAAAATTATATATATATTAAACCTAATGTGTTTATACTTAACAAATTTATATTACTTATTAATATAAGTATTATCAATGAATTCAAATAAATAACTTTATTTGTCGCAAATGATAAAATATTTCACGTAAATATAAATGTATTTATGACAGAGAGAGGTAATGTTATTGTTAATACTCGTATACAAATTGTTTATTAACATACGTGGAGTTGAATGGAAACTGGAAGTTTATAAGTATAAGTAAAAATATAATTTCCTATAAGTGCAACAATATATTTAAAGTTAATACGCATCTAGAGTACCCAGAAAGATAGATATATTAATAGTTAATACATGGTTCGTTGGAGAAATGCATTTATGATTAGGGCCTGGGGCTCGATTCTTCAATTTATTCCAAGGAGAAACGTATGCGAAAATTCTGCTCTTACAGAAAAGTTGCAAGTCGATCGGCTACTCGCGTGGCTTTAACCAATCGACTTTCAGCTTTTCTGTCGGAGCAGAACGTTCGTGTACGCTTCTTCTTCGAATGATTTCGAGAATCGGGGGCCTGGATATTCAGGCGATTTCTCGACTCGTGCGCGGAACTTCGCTATGTGCGAGTGAAAAAGTGACGCTGCGCGCGCAAATTGCGGCGTTGCGTTCGCAGTGGAGATGTGACAAGCAACAGTCGCGGCAAGCAGTTACAAGATCGAGCCTGCTTCCTAAGTCGGATATAAGTTGAACATAAATATATTGATTATATTGTATGAACATACATACGTTCCTTCTAGCTTTATTTAGACTAAGGATCAGAGTAGTGACATAAAAGTTTTAATAACGACAAGATGTTACGTATGTACATTAAGGCAAAGAAAGAAGTGCTCGGAATATATCACCATTAACCTCACTTATAATGTTTCGGCCTTTCTGTCTTTCTGCCTTTCAAGATTAAGAAGAAGAAGATCTAAGTTTATGTCTACAACGTATGTCGTACTTCTATATATGTATACGACATTACATTTTACGTCAAAGCTTGTGTGCTATCTATAAGGCCCGGTCTACAATGAGTCGTTAGTCGTTAGTCAGAAGTCGCAACTATATGTTGATCCTTTTCCTTTCTGGGTGGAAGAAAAAGGACCGACATATAGTTCCGACTTCTGACTAACGACTAACAACTCATTGTAGACCGGGCCTAATAATTACGACTCATGTCTTGTCGTAATTGTTTGCCATAAAAATTTTTGCCATAAACTCAGCGAGAGATCGCTCGTTACAGGTCACATTTGGCACGCTGATTACACGGGCGTATCACGTGAAAATCCTAGAAAGATCTGGCACCGACTTTCGGGGGCGCGCGGCACGTGGCACTCTCCTTCGCGACGAGAATCGGACAAGGCAGTGTTGGTGAGCGACTGCGAGTAGTTTTTTATAAAAATTAAAGTTGTAGACATAAGATCAATAAGTAATCAATAATTCTTACTATTTCAACAGTGTATATTGAAATTCACTGAATAATTCAGTGAATTTCAATATACGAGGTCCGGCTATTAAATAACGAGACTGCGCGCGCAGAAGGCGTCCTAGAGGGGTAGGGAGGGAAACGAATGCAGCGTTGGATAGCTGGAAGTGTCTTCTATTCCAGTACGAAAACCACATTTTTGTCGCTGTAGTAGTATTTTTTCTATAGAGGTTAGAAGCAAACTGTGTTTTTTACTCGTGACGATAACAATGTGTGACGAAAAACACGAGCAACGGATCAATGTGAAATTCTCGGATCAATGTTAAATTTTAAAAAAACTCCTACTGAGTGCTATAAATTGTTGAAAGAGGCCTATGGTGAGAATTCTCTATCTCGTGCACGTGTTTTCGAATGGTATAACAGATTTTCTGAAGGCCGAAGATGACCAACGTCCAGGTCGACCTGTGTCTGTTTCAACTCCGCAAACAGTGACCACAATCAATGAAATTGTACGCGAAGATCATCGTATGAGAGCTCATACGACGATCTTCGCGTACAATTTCATTGATTTTGGTCACTGTTTGCGGAGTTGAAACAGACACAGGTCGACCTGGACGTTGGTCATCTTCGGTGCTCTCTCGGCCTTCAGAAAA